GACATAGTCGTGAGATGCAAGAAACATAGACATATGACAAGAAATCTGTAGACGCGCCCATTAACAACAAAAGACAATACTTTATTGAACCTTTTCTGATAAGAAGTGTGCACTGCAAACGCAAGCATTTTTGACGATCGTTTCTGACTAGTCCGCTCGTTTTATCGCGTTTAACCACAGCTGTCGTCGGTATTTTTGTCCGGCAGTGGCAGCAGATATGCGATCAAATGTCTAATTTGAGGCTGAAATATATTGAGATGGTTTTTGGTACTTATACCGCAAATATATATACTTAAGGACATCAAAACATAAAATAAAACTCCAGAAAGGTGTAAAATATGTGACCTTTAAATGGTTGTTGTCACAAAAACTTGAATTTTTTCTAACATAAATTAAACATTGAAGAACAGTAAAAATGATCATGAATATGTTATATGGTGCATATTAAGCAAAAATGCTACTTTCTAGAGTTCATTTTTCTAGCTGACTAATGAGTTAATGGTCACTAATATGTTTTTCTGTGATAAATGTGACGTTACGTGACATATTGTTTACAAGCTATTGTCGTCTTTCCGCGGTTGAAACAGTGATTGAGCGATTAAATGGATTAATCCTGTCGTATCGAGACAGGATACGGATTTCGGTAAGTTGCGCTCTTTATTTTAACATAGCTTCGGATGTTCATTCATGTTTATTTCATGCTGTAACTGCTTTTAAAGCAGAGGAGATGATCAGTTCACAGCGATCTGAACGGCATTTAATATTTGAATATTGTAATAAAATGGACAGAATTTGAAATCCGAGACATTGTTTCATATCAAAACTAACAAATCACAAAGCTTATTGCAATTTATTGGATGGGAGGCGCGCTACAATGTTCCATTCATTATCTGACAGGCTAGACTAATCGATTCTTGGGATTTATGAATCGATATCGTTTCATAAATATGAGAATCGATAAAATCGAGAAATTGATATTTTTTACCCAGCCCTAATATATATATATATATATATATATATATATAAACAAAGCACAAAGCCAATCAGAACACACAAATATCAAAAGAAGTTAATTCGTCTGTATTTACATGTGCACACACTAAAAGTTCTGATGTACCTGATCCCCTTGTCTCAGTGTGCGGACCTGCAGCTGGCCAATCGCCGCCTTCGCTTCAGCTTTCAGCTTTTTCTGAAAAAAAAGAACAGACAAACACAGCTTGGGATGTGTGCTTGTCTTGGTGCTTTTGGTCTGGTCTCACTGGTTTTTCAGGAAGTGTATGAATACTTTAGAACTGTAACACGAGTATCAACACAAAGTGTGCTCAGATGTGTTTGCTCTGCTACACAAACACCTACAACAAAGAGCATTTAAGATCAGGATTAAGTAAATATAAAGGGAAATTTACATTTACAAAAAATAATCTTATCCCACAGTGAGAGAACTACTGCGGACTCATTCACTCAGTTGATTCACACATATAGTCGCCGCAACAAAAATGCAGACACTGGAGAGACACACTTAATGTATGAATGTCAATACATTAGATTAAAAAAAAGAACCTCGAGCTAAACCACATTCACACATATAAAAGAGATGAATCAATCCAGATTCAACCCTTTCACAGTCCAGACAGGAAAAGGAACTTGATTGCTGGTTAGGTTTCATATAATGAACCACTTTATGAATGCTTATGAAACTGGGGCAAGACTTTCCCGTTATACACGAAAATCCCAATAAGAAAAAGATCACAAATACTCTTCTCTTCTTTATGAAGTCAAAAATATATTTAAATCCATCTCTCATGTCTGAAATTCCAAATAAAGCATTGTGTATTTTAAAACAGGGCAGCAGTTATAGAATTTAAATAGAGGTATTCAACCTCACAAAATATTTAGCAATGAATGGAAAAGGTTTATATAACAGGCATAGCCATCCCTGCCCGGCTCAAGTAACTCACCCCAGAGATGCTCACATTAAACTCTTCAGTGTTTGTGTGTGTGTGTGTGTACAAGCATGTGTTCGCAGACTAAACAGCAGGCCATCTCAACCCTGTGTGTGTTTTCCACAGGGAGACAGTACTGGCACAAAGTAATATGAATCCTCTATTGAACTGAAACCAAATCCACAATGTGTTACATGTTAAACTTCCTCTACCACTGCTCAAAAGGGGTGAGAAATGAATACCAATTAAATGCAGATATTTTTTGCACAGTGGCAAGTAATGCGTCTCGTCTACTAGCCACTGTGGCGGCTGACATCACATTTGACAATAAATGCTGTAGCTTAAGATACAAGTGAAGAAGCACATTTGAATTCATCTGGATGAACAGACAAAATAAACACAACCAATGCGAATGTCTCACAATTAATATACTCTACAGTCTTACATGTGAATATGGAAGGAATGAATAAATAGAAACATATAGTAAAATCTGAAATTCACCCTGCAGTCAAAACTTGAAGGCATCTGGATTTTCAATGAAGAAAAAAAAAAATTCAAATCTGAAACCGTTTACACAGAAGCAGTTAATAATCAAAGTTGGAATGCTCAAGTCTGCTCAGGTGCTGCTTTAGTGGCCATTCACACAGAATGCAGTTTTCCATTCCACTACACTTACTTTTTCATTGTTTTTCTATTTAAATGTGCTAGAGGGACATCTCTGAGCATTGTGCTTGTATGTCTTGTGTCGTTTAAAAACACGGCACTCAAGTTAAAGGAGTAGTTCACTTTCAAATTAAAATTTCCTGATAATTTACTCCCCCCTTGTCATCCAAGATGTTCATGTCTTTCTTTCTTCAGTCGAAAAGAAATTAAGGTTTTTGAGGAAAACATCCCAGTGTTTTTGTCCATATAGTAGACTTCAACAGTTACCAAAAGGCTGAAGGTCCAAACTGCAGTTTCAGTGCAGCTTCAAACAAGTTCTGTGTGAAAGGCCAATGTACAGTATGTGGAAAATAGTGGTTTTTTAACTTTAAACCGCATAAACACATTTCATTACACCAAATACACAAAATAATGTTCTTTTTAGCAGCATCATATGACCCCTTTAAATTAGTACAACTGATTTTTATTATATATAATTTATATAACAGAACATGTACCAAGAACTACACTATAAACCTTAGTCAGGTTAGATGACATACTTAATTTAACACAGATGAAAACAGTGCTATGAGGGATAAATTTACAGTCTTCACAATGGCACACATTGAATAAAGGGTGTAGATCATGTAATTTCAAGTTTCAAAACTGTTCTATGGAGTTTATGTCTACTGAAAGTTTTAAGAAAGATGTTTCGTCAGCTGAACAAGCGGTATGTTGTTAAACAGCACAAACCACTGAACACACCGTTCTCCTATACTACACAACCTCATTTTCACTCCTGTCAAAAATCAAATATGGCGCTATCCTGACTAAGGTCTATAAACTAGTATACCAAACTGTCTACATGCAAACATGCAAGACCACCCAAATGTCCTAGTGAGGAAATAAACATCATACTAATGCCCAACAATGGAGACACAATGTCAAAAACCAACAAACTCATGCTAATAAGCAATTTGTCTCAGAAGTAATTTGTTTGTCTGTCAACATGTTTCACAGATTGAAGACTGATGGTTCACCAGCAGCAAAACATAAGTCTAAAACTCTTGACAGTCCACCTTCTTTGTACACCTTACAGGCCATTAAAAACTGTATTTCTTGGAGCAAAATTCTATTGTTGTGATTGTCAATTCTGAGTCAGTTTGAAGAAGATAGTCATTTTAATACTTCACACAAACCCAAACTCAGTCAATTACTCTTACCCAACCCAGCCCATCACTCTTTAAACCACTGTTCAGCCCTGCAGATAACATCATCTGCTCTAACTCCAGAATTCTGATTCACTAAATACCTTTATACTTGCAATTACATATACACAATTCATGTTCAGAAATCTATTCACTTAGCAGATGTAGAAATAAGGGACATTGTAAGCAATTTATCATAAGAGTAAGGCCTGCGCTGCGCTGTTATCTCTGCCTACTGGAAACTTTTTCAGGCTTCTGATTAGTGTTGGGTCGTTCTTGAACGATTTGTTCATTTTGAACGAATCTTTAATGTGACTTGGGAAGAACGAGTCGTCTTGGGGAGTGATTCGTTCAGTCGCGCATGCGCAACATCCTATAGGTTCTGTACTGGAATTAGTCAAGTAGTTCACATGGTTCGAGTCTTCGGGTTTTGCCGAGTCATTCGTTCATCACGTGACAGCCCCATAAGCTTTAACCAATGCAGTCTGAGCCGGAAAGAGAATTGATTAGTTCATCTCTCGAGTCTTCGGGTTTTTCGAGTAGATCGTTCATCACGTGACAGCCCTATACGCTTTAACCAATGCAGTCTGAGCCGGAAAGAGAATTGATTAGTTCAACTCGAGTTTTCGGGTTTTTCGAGTCACTCGTTCATCA